TACTAGCATGAGTCCAGTTCACAATTTCTACCTCTAGGGCCTTTCATTTAACAGATGAACAAGTTCATTAACATACTGGATATTGTAAAAAAAATGGGGGGTGGGGGACATAATGGCTACAAATTTTGTTCAAAACATTTTTTCTCTATATAATATTTTCAGAATTATATATCCACCCATCTGTACTAATGACTTTGCTTGTTCAAAGTCTAGACTCCAACAATACATCATAATTTTTCTTCAAAAGATTTACCTGTTTCCATCTTAACACGCCGCTTAGCTGAAACTGCTATGTTGTATGGATAAGTGATTGTTTTAACCCGTATTATAAATGGGGTATATGATAAATGAAAACTAGATGTGTCTTGGGGGTATACACATTTATGTAAGGAAAAACTAAACAGCTGTAAAACATAAACCACTAGAGCTAAAAATGCAGTGGCTACTCCTGCACTCCTACCACACAGTACATACAGAATTTATTAGCACCCATGAGTTTATACAAGAATGATACTATCTGTAATTAGCTCAGGAATATATCCCTTGTGACTGCAGAGAGAAAGTTGTGTCTGTATGTAAGAATGTAATTAACCCCGACATAAAGTGCTCAACAATTTAGACCCAATATTCAATTATGATCCAAAAATTTTTGTTAAGGACTGCATGTACCAAATTTAATCAGAATGAATTAAGCTATAGCTGAATTACTAAACATGCACATAACAAAGCAAACATTACTAATGCACTACTGTGAAACTGACCTAAATTGCACCCATCCTGACTCCAACTATACAAGTTCAACATTTTCATTCATGTACTCCCACTGGGTATACCTCAATTAATATCTTTCCTTTTTTAACATTCAACTTCAATGATCCTAAGTCAGTAACTTAAGATTTTCATGAGTTAGCGTTCAGATCCACTGCTCCCAAAGAAACTTTAAATGGGAGGTATGAATGAACTGGTTGCCATTTGTGGGAAATGTGCTGACCTTGAAGTTGTGATTGGCCTTGGGTCTTTACACCACGTGGACATGCACAGTGTCACTGACACGGTACTTTCATATTAATCTCCAAAAGTTTGTAATGCTCCCTATGTCCACACAATAAGAATTATAAAATGACATGATTATGTTTCAAGTGCTGTTTCTGCCCAATGTTTATTCAGCATTCTTTCACAACATTCAGACTTTCCACAGCAATAGCTTATTACTAATCACTGCAGAAACCAAAAATCACTCCATACATAACACTAAATTTTATGAAGTAGACGGTGATAGACCTTCAAAACTAGCAGAACAGAACACAGTACTTGCGCACATTGCACAACTGGACTGGTCTAGACACAGAAGGCTGGACAGAAACTTGTCCCATTACATACCGACCCATTTAACAGAACAAAGTCTGAGTTTTATCCACATATCTTCTGTTACAGAATGAGGATTTGAACACACACAACTCGAGGAATCACATATTTTAAATAATATAAAACTACAGCATCCTGCTGCACTGTGTATTCTAAATTAGCATTCACACTTCTCACCATCCCTGTGCAACTACATCGACATATTAAAATTCACATTTCAAAAGCACCTCGACTCTTAGTATTATTCAAACACAACATGTTTCAGCCCAACTGGCCCTCATCAGGCATACAAGCTGTAGAGGGAACTGCTGCCCCATTCTCTCGCTGCTACACTTTGAATTTTAAAGGTGTAAAGTACTTGTAAATTATTTTATTTTAAAAATTATTTTTAAAATATCATGCAGAGACTATTTTGTTGTGTGCATGTATTGTGGGTCTGATGTATCTGTAATATATAATAATGCATTACATTAGTGTTTTTAGTGTTTTTGTGCATGGAAACCCTCATTCTCTAACAGAAGGTACAAGATAAAACTGGGACTTGGCTTCAGTTAAATGGATCAGCATATAATGAGAGAAGCTCCTGCCAGTTCATCTGTGTCTATAGACAGCATTTTTAATGTGAACAGCACTATTCTCTGGGATGTGACACCGTATAATCTGGTGGAAATTCAGGAAGAATGTACTGCCTCCATCTTCAGGAATGACGAGTAAGCCAAGCAAGCAGCAAGCAGAGTATTACATCTGCTTGGATTATGACTTGATTATAACAATTTTTTTGTACATGATATTACATTACATTGCATTGCATTCCATGGATTCAAAGTTAGTCAAAATGACTGTCGGATGTGGAATATGTCATATAAATACAAAACATATGTACAGTCCCAATGGAGTTCTCACATAAGAGAAACCAAAATTACACAGTGACTACACACAAGGCTATTTAAAGATACATTCATTCATTCATTATTGCAGGGGGTGGGTTTCCCCATGCACCGCGACCAGTTGTTGATCTATTGTATGTCCCCCTTTGATATTCTACCAGTCGCCATACCCTTCCAGTTCTGGTGCTCACTATCAGCCCCCTTCAGCCAGTGAGTTCGGCCCCTCTACTGGCAGTGGTACCTGATACTTCCCAATCTACCGGAGGCATTGGAAACTACTTGGGCAGGCAACTTTTTACCAATTTTGCTCAGAGGTCTCCTAGAGACATGAGGATCTTTTATGTGCCGTAAATCTATGACACGGGACCCACGGCTTAAAGTCCCTCCCAGAGGACTTGTTCCCTGAATTTTTCCGCCCTTAAAAATTCCACGACCTCCTCCGGGTTTGAACCCACATATCTTGAGTCATAAGGTGGGAACATTACCCCTAGACTACGGAGGCCACTTTAAAGATACACAAGTTATTTTCTAGACATTAGGTATTCATCATCAGAGTAGAATGAATGTGTATTTAAGTATCCTTTCAGTGCTACTGTAAATCATGCCTTTTAATAAATAAGACCTTTGAGATCAAATGGCAGGTTATATGAAGGTAATATGTCCTCCCAAAATGTTGGTGAACTCCAACCAGACTACACGGCATCACATCCCAGAAGATGGTACTCTTCATAGTCACTGCTGTGGAGGACCTCAAAGAGAACACATTTTTTAAAGTGCTCACAATTATAACAACTTTTGCACAGAATGTCTGAAGTACCTCAAAACATTTAGCAATATAGAATCATTCTGAAAATTCACAGGCATGTTCTTGAAATCCTGGTTCTATTTAGAAACACATTATTCATAAAAGTCCATGTTCTCATACATATTTCATGTATGAAACATTTCTTTTACACAAATAAAAAAAGCGAAAGTTGTATACATATCATATAAATGCATTGATTCGGACTGCACACTGAATTGTCTCTTACGTCACTGTCAACAGCAATAAAAATCCTCGTTACCGAAAATACGAGCACAGGGGTTTGCAGCAGTGACGCACATGGCTCTACATAGAAGACAAGGTTAGGTACCTTATTAAAGTGTCTACATTAATTGATAGTTAATCTAGTCTTGTAAATGGTCCCTACTATAATATTAGTGTGAGTTCAACATTTCCATACATTTTTCCATACTTTCTTTAAAATAGTGAACTGTTTTTGTACTACAACATGCACAGACATAGAATACAGCAGTTAAGTAGGCAGACGAACTCTTGTGGTAACATATGACAATAGAAACGAGGCAATTCAAATGCTTAAGCTAAAAATTATCGAGAAACTATTATGTACAAAGTAAATGCAATGCAACCTTCACTGTAAAATACTGGGCCATCCCATTAGGTCCAACAGACAAATAAGATAAAATAAACAGCATCAACTACCAAATGCTACACTTAAAAGTCAATTCACAGTACCCACATACACGTGCACCAACCATCCCAGGCACAGAAAATACTATGTTTTACAGACTATATGTCACTAAGATTGTGATCTTGTGGGATGTGACACCATGAAGTCTGGTAAATAGGCATCAATGTTTTGCAAAAATGTACTGTATTCATCTGTACACTCCTCAACAAAATGTCAGTATCTATCTATCAAACTACATGCACATCCCAGTACACCAAATCATCCTTGTGAAATTCGTACATGCCACTGTTGATTTTTGAGCCTAAGAGCAACTCTAAACACACTTTTAACAAGCACCAATATGATGATTCATGTGCTCCCATTTCAGCTTAGCGTGTTAAAACTTAAATGGACACCACACTTTCTTTGTAACATTAGAAGCCAGAGCATGCTGAAGTTCTAAACTATAGCCCTCTGTCAGTTTACATAACTAAATAAGAACAAAAGTTTTGAGTTTCATGATGCACACTACTGTGCTTCTATGTTTGTGGATGAGGCTAAGTGAAGAATGGAACAACATAACATGGCTGCTGATCTTATCTGTTGAAGATTTGAAAATATAAACTGAGAAAATTGTCCATAAATATGAGAGCTATTCAAAAAGTAATTTCTGGTAAACTGTTAACAAAACAAGCAAAGAGAAAAAAAATTGTATTATACACAAAAAAGAACATACGTGCTTAAGCTACTTCTCAACTTAGTCACTGCCAGAACTGAGGCACTTGTCATATTCGGGAATAAGTTTATGCATACGTGTCAAAAAAGTCTGCCGCCTGTGAGCTCAGTCATGCTTTGACACCTTTCATCTATACATTATTGATGAAGCTTTGCGATCCAAACCAGTTCATCAGGTAGGTAAACAGGTTCTAGTCACTCAGAGAGAGATAAGGACTGCAGGAAGAGTGTTCAACAACTCTCAGTTGAAATACTCCAGCAGGTCTTGAGCAGAAGCAGCTGTATGCCAGTGCGCATTGTCATGGCTGAGCACTACCCCATAAGTAACCATTCTATGCCTTTTGTTCTGAATGGCTCTACACAGTTCTTTGGTGTTCTGCGATACAAAACGTGACTAAGCTCACATGCAGCAGACTTGACAAAGACATACAAAAACGTTTTCCCTGATATAACAAGTGCCTCGATTCTGGCGGTGACTATGTTGAGAAGTAGCTTATGTACGTATGTATTTTTTATATAAAGTAACATTTGTTTCTCATTGCTTGTCTTGTTAATAGCTCACCAGGCGTTATTTTTTTAAAAACCCTAGTAAGTGCATGCACCTTAATAAGTGCGCATCAGAAACTGCAAAAAGCATGTTTCAAACATGAGAATTCGGCATGAACTTCATGTTACACATATATTTAATACTGGGTTCACTGATTTGCTCCAACTTTTGTACGTGTGGCACCTACATTTAGAGTACTCCCACCTCTCAGCGCTTTCGACGACAGACGCGCTTGTGCTCCTTCTGCCAGTGAAGCTGCTGGCATTCAATGCTGCAGTATGCGGTGTTCCAACAGCAGTGATAGATAGCTTCACTCTCACAGTTGTAGCACTGTAACATTATAGAAATTCATGCTGTTTTCATGGCATAATCTTAAAGACATTAGAAAACATTTCCAAGCACACTGGGTATTTCAATCCTCTATTACACATTTGTCACAGGTGAGTCAACTACAGCTCACAGGTAAGTACATTTCTAGGTTAAGACAAAAGCAAACAAACTCCACGGTTTGAGTCCACAAGTGAACTATACCGACCAAGTGGCTGCCACTTCTCAGCGAAGTTAGTGCCAACTTTAGCAGATAGTGGATATCACTTGGTCACCGCAACGAATACCCTTGGCAGTTGATTTCAGTTGATTTCAGTTTTCTAGACCAGAGCTGCTATTTCCTAGAAACAGCTCCTCAATTATCCTCACAAGGCCAAGTGGACCCCGTTCCAGACCCACTACTTCTCAGAAAATCTGGTAGTGCCTGGAATCGAACCCAGACCTCTGGATCTGTAGCTAGCAACTCTGACCTCTACACCCCAGAACTAGCCACCCTCCTCTCCAAAACAGGTGTTGTTTCAAGATGGCTGCTTACCTCCTCACTAATAAATTCAGAAACTTGTAAGGTAACTAACCTTTTCTGCTGAGTGCTGGATAATTTCAAGGTCAAGGTGAGCCATGCAGGACAGCTCGGGTGCAATAAGCTTCAGGTCTTTCTCAGGTGGTACAGGGTAGGAGAGTACTGGACACCAAAGAAGTCAGAGGGATGAAGGTGTTACAATAAAGCATGCAACAGAGACTTATAGTTCAGCAATGTTCATCATTCATTCAACACTTCTCAATCAACTTGCACACATGCTTGTAACACTTTCTGCTTTCCAACACAGTAATGCACTGGCAGAATGTGGTTTCATTAAATTTTATGTTTCATCACACTGACATTATCAATTTATGTTACATAATTCTAACTTAGTACAATGAATAAATGGAACAAGTTCTAATAACTTCCAGGTGCTCAGACAGCCATTTGCAATGGCATATAGAATCCAATTGCTAGAACAAAAAGGAATGGCAGCTTTACACTTCTGAAAGCAGAAGAAAAAGACAGGCCTATAATTTATTTGCATTTCACATCACTGTTTCTAGAACAGGTGCCAGGGTGATTGCCTGACGCTTAAATCCTGGACTGTCCTGGCTTGACTACAGGCCTGGTACAAGAATACAGGGTGTCATAACCTATGATATCACAATCCAAATCTTAGAAACAACAAAAATCTCATGTTCACACACAAACCTTAATCTCAACAACATAACATTCTTAGGTAAACGTAAAGCTATCCACTATAACAGGCTATGAAGGCCCATTGGGTTGTGAGACACTGAGGGTCTCACCTTATCTAGACAATCGGCTCACAGATGGCAGTGAGGTTGTCAGCCTTACACACCTGCTGCCCTTTATCCCCAGGAAGATTCATGGTACTCATTTCTGTTATAGGCTGAATCCTTACATATGTGCTAGTGGAATACATACCCACTGTTTCTTCTTGATCTCAGAAATTGCCTGTTTGTGCTTCTCTGTCAAGTCCTGCAACTCCAGCCTCATCTGCTCCTCAAGCTCTTGCAGTGCTCTCTGCTTCTCTGCCTCCATTTCACACCGCAACTGAAACGCAAGGCCCATCATCTTTCCTCAAACACACCATGCCACGTGTAGCTATCCAGTGGACTCCGAATGTTAGCAATGCTATTAACTTTGGCTGTCCTTTGCATGACTATTCTGTAAGACATTCTGTAAGAGTCTGACATACACTTAAACACAAAAAACTAAACTTTCTATCTCACTTTTCATAATTAATAATCATGATATGGAGAATTATACATGCCACAATTCTTTTGATCAGAAAGTTTATTGCCTCATAGCAAATCATTCTCAGTCGTGTATCTATCTTATATATACCCCAACCTTGGCCTATCAAACATATTTTTAGTCTCCTCCCATTATTGAGTTGAGACATGCACTTGCACTAGTATGAGAATATAACATTTGAGCATCCTGTTGCATTCATGTATTACTCAATCACTCGTCTCTGTCTTTAATGCAACTTAAAACTGATCACTATGTATCTTTAACTTAAAATAAGTTCATATATATTTCCATGCTATTGCATATTGTTGTTCACACTAAAATACGTTTGTTTGAGAATAAAACTGTCCTTTCCGCATTATTCTCCTTTTCCAGTGCCCATGCTCGGGCCACCTGCATATGTATGTTCTCACTAGTTGGGTGTATGACTTTTAAGAGCTAGTGCAGTGTGACAGTTTCAAAAAGTGAACAGCTGCCTGAAGATGACCAAGTACGACTGAAACATGTAGCAATTTGATGTCATTTTAAATTAAAGAAAAATGGTGAACAGTTTTAAGGTGCATTAAAGATAGAGGTGAATAAGTGAGTGAATAGTAAGAGAAATATTTTCTGAAACACTGTAATGATAGATCTCCTAAAGTGAGAATCTGCAAGGAGCCAAAGGAATACATGTATGACAGTTCATAAACTATAACTGGTTAAGAAGGGGTCAGTACCGGTCACGGTAGCCGAGGAGTCTAAGGAATCTACTGTCTTTGCTCGCTTGGAAGCCAAGATTGTGGGTTTGAATCCCACACAAGGCATGGATGTTTATGTGTGTGTGTGTTATGTGCGTTTGTGTTGCCCTGTGTTTAGGGAGAGGCCTTGCAACGAGCTGATCACCTATCCAAGGAGTACTACCTCTGTAAAATGATCAAGAAACTGTGAAATCATACCTATGCTCCAAAGTGGAGCAAGAGGAATGGGGGGGGGGGTAGAGAAGGGTCAGCGGAGTGAGAAGCTTAGGAAACCATAGCCTTCACAATATGTCCTCTGCAAAGAAATTCCAAAAGCCATGCAATCTTTGATATCTGAATTTGGAGGTTTTAATTTATTCACAGAGAAAGATTTCTGTGGAAGAGTTATCTTGCTATTGCCCTTCCATCATGAACATCAATGATGGCACACGTTGATCTGTTGAACACAGAAAGACTGGGAATAATTTTCTACTTACCTTATCAGTAACATCCTTGCTTGATCTGTCTGTTGAGTCTCTGAGAGCACCCGACTTCTTATTTGAATTTTTTATGAGACGAGGCGAAGTCTGCACAGAAACGGAACGAGAACGAGGCTCCTGACAGGACGAACTCACCATGTCTTCTTGGGATACTCCTTCCTTCAGAACAAATTGACAGCAAATTGGATAAATCTTGTCTAGGCATTATATAATGTTCCACATACCTGTATATATTAAAACAGTGCAGCACGTTTCAGAATACAAACACATGAAAGTCTCAAACAAAAATTAACAGCTTTAATCTGTAAAATTATCACCATGAATGATTACGAATCAGCATGTGACAGAGAAGTACAGCTTTGTGTAATACATTAAAACCAGCATGAAGTAACTACTTTGGTGGCCCTCATGTTGTGACAAAGTGTCAACAACACGGGACCAAGCATACAGGTAGGTAAAGCAGCTTCACATGACAACTTTAAAGGTAGAGGAAGCTGTTGTGACTTAAGGCAGTATCCTAGCATTTATTTGGTCTATGGTAAGATGCAAGAACCTGGCCAAACAGCTATAATTACCACAAAACAAACTCCGTGGTTTTAGTCTGCAAGTGAACTATACTGACCAAGCCACAGCCGCTTGTCAGCGAAGTCAGTGCCAACTTTAGCGGATAGAGGGTGTCACGTGGTCAGCGCAACAAATCCCCATGACCAATAATTTCGGTTTCTGGAATGGAGTCACTATTTCCTTGAAACAGCTCCTCAATTATCCTCACATGGCTGACCCACTACTTCTCAGAAAATCTGGTAGTGCCAGGAACTGAACCCAGACCTGTGGATCTGTAGGCAGTAACTCTGACCACTAGACCACAGAGATGGTCCTATAATTAACGCTTTATAACTAATTAATCAGATTACATGAGATCTTCAACAGGGAAGCTCTGCATCACAGACAATCCAGACAGTCAGGGAGCAGAGAGACTGCTACAGCCGTACACATTCCAGAGAACTTGTGTCAGAGCAAGAAACAGTTCCAACACTCTCCCCCCTGAATCCAATCTCCCTTCTTCCCTCCCATTTCAGTTGCAATCTACCTTCCTCCAACTGGGCTCCCTCTGCCACCTTCCACGTCACTTGACCCACAGCAGAGGTTAAATAACACTGTATTTAATGAACACTCAGCTGGGTGCCCACTTCAGAACATGAGTCTGTGGTGGTCTTTTGGGCATTTATTGGCCTTTGAAAGGGTCAATATTTTCCACACTTCTTGTTTACTGTCCCTAAAAGTACAGACTCGGCATCATTCCTACCTAAGGGGTCTCTTTGGGCCAAAATCTATGTCTGCATGAACACCCACGCATCTTATTCACCGAAGATGGAAGCAGAATATATTGTACCTACAAAACATCAGCAACTCTGCCCACATCCATATGGAGTGAAGACAAAAGAGCAGAATCAGCATCAACAGTGAACCACTATGAAAGCCTACGCTCAGTAATGACGCTGGGTAAGAAATTCTGTTTTATATATACTGAAGATTCATTATTATGCTGATAAAATGCCCAGCACTGTACACTATTCCAAGCCAATTCACTCAATTATTCTTCTGGTCTTTTCCCTTCAGGTGTCCTGACCAAAATTTTGCAACTATTTCTCATTTCACCTGTATGCACTACATCTTGCTCACCTCATCATCCTTTGGTTTAATCACCCTAACAATATCAAATGAAAATTATGAGACATGAGCTCATTATGTTACTCTCACTATCTTCCCATTATGTTCTCTTCTTCAGGTTTAAATACATTCTTTGGTGCCCTACTCTCAGTCACCCTCAGTCTATTTTATTGCAGTAACAATTATCAGACTCGCCACACTGAACCCCCCATTTATTGTTTCTTACAGGGGCAGTGGATTTGAACCCATAACTGAGGAAAATCTGAATCTTAGGAAATTCAGCATTGAGATCATTCACTTGTATCTCTGTAACTGAACATTACCTGAGGGAAAACCTTAAAATCGGAAGCGTTAAATCTATCTTCTGATGTGAAATGTTTCAGTAAAGTTGCTCTCACCTTCGTGTCTGTCACTGGCTTGCTCGTAGATGAAATGGAGCTCTCCTCTTCCTCAGGTGACACCCTACCCCCCAACTCTACTTCTGCTGCCAATTTCTGTTCAGTCTTTTCTTTGTACACCTTCCCCTCTCTGCGCTCTCGAACTCCCTCCTGTCAGCCCAATACAGCACCAATTAGATCTCTGAAATATCATACTTAACTGCATAATTCACCCACCACCTCTACCTTGAGTTATTAATTAAAAACCAACATGACGGAAAACGTGGACATTTCTTACAGAGGCAAAACTGTCTCTTTATTCATGAATTTAGTCAATTATTTACCTCTGACAGTTCTAGTTCAGTATGGGGCCATGGAGATATACTTTCATGCAATCTCAACAGACTAAGTTCATGCTGGTATGCAATGGGTTCATTAAATATAATTAAACTTAGTTTATACATTTCTTGTAACATGTATTACCTGGGATTTATGGGAGCAAGATGATTTACGTGGACGACTCTCAGACTCACTCTCTTCTTCTCCATCACCATCATTGTTGTCATCGTCGTCATCGTCATCATCATCATCATCCTCTTCATCAGAGCTGGAGTCAGGATGAGTACGTGCATTGTTGCGCAATTTCTCCAGCAGATCTTGATGGCGCTTCAGTTCTTCGCAAGCCTTGTTCCAAGAGGAGGTGCGCTTTACCTGCAGAGTATGGATGTTGACCGAGATGGAGCGAATGTGGGACTTCTCAATCAATGCACGCTGGTGATGTCCTCCAAAGAACCGAACATCATAATGTTCCCCATCCATTTTGATCACCTGCAGAACAATTGACAAGCACCCAACATCACCAAATCAACCATAACTTCACATTCAGCAAGTATTCTCACATGCTGACAGGTCGTCTTTATGACAGTGGACAGTGGCTCGAGTCTGTGAGTTATGTTATGACTCTGTCAGTATATAGAAAATTTAATGTCAAATGGTCAGACAACTGATGAATAGTGAACTAGAAAGGATCTGGAAGGAAGTGGTTATGGTCTAATAAAGGTACAATCTTGGCATTTGCCTGGAGGTACTGAGAAAAGCCACAAAAAAACTCAAGTCAGGATAACTGGTGTCACAGCTGAGAATCAAACCAAGGATCTAACAAATCAAAGTCTACAGCATCACTGCTAAACCAACACACATGCACACACATATCCCTCTCCAATGGTCATTTCTGTGACAAGAGACACCTTCAGATGTCTGTCAACTGTGCTCCACAAAAGATCAACCCATAAATTTAACTTCTATCCAATATAAGATAGATCGGTATGAAGAACAGTTCAGTCTGTTACAGTATAGTATACAAATCTAGTCAAATTTTAAGATGGCAGGAACAAATTCACTCGCCAACTTCACACTAATGGCAAGGGATACATAACAACCAAGCCTCTAAATGTTGCGTCTTACTTTACACCATGCTGTTTATCATGAAACGCGTACTCCCATGGAATATGCACATTCTGAACATCACGCTCACCTTAGCAGGCCAGTAAGGGAAACCTTTCTGCTTGGCATACACGAGCTGATGTGGTGGGCGACACGGCTGACAGAACCAGTGCTTGTCTGTCTTCTCATTGGAGACACGGTAACAATCACGGCACTGTCGTATCTCCTGCAAATCATAGATACAGTCCCGCAGCATCTGTCGTGCCATGTCAGCCAGGATGCTGTGCACTGGAAGAACCAAATGTACATGAAGAAGAAAAACAGTTACAGATAAATTTCCATGCTACTTTAAAGAGGCTCAACATACCATACAGATTCGAACTCTTGACAACTTTTGCAAGCTAATTTTGGTATTTGATGGTCACCATCAGGGGTGGAAATGGCTTCCCAGAAAGAGGCAGACACTCCAGATCAGCAGAAAATCTCAGGGGAAGGACCAACACACATTAAAAGGCAATTAGTATAACGCAGGCTCAAGATGGAGCCCTGGGGTCAACACAGCCTCCAACAGAAATGAGCACCAGAAATCTTCCTGGTGGTAAAGCACGGCCTGAGTATAAGGCTGACAACCTCACTGCCATCTGTTAGCAAATTATCTAGAAAATGTGTGAGCCTCGACATCTCACAACTCTATGGGCCTTCACAGCTTCTTACAAGGATAGCTTTACTTTACTTTACTTTCTTCTTTTCAATCTACTTCATAACATGATACTCTACCTCCATGGTAAATGACAACATTGTGAACAACTGTTTCAGCATCAGCACGGAACTCTTGCAGGCTGCGGTATTTGTTGTTGGAAGCCTTGATCTCCATGGTGCGAAGGTCCATGGGCCTATAGATGAGATAGTCCACACGCCAGAGGTCAGCATCATCCATTACCAAGTTGAGGCCCGCTGGATGGTCACTTGGAATGGAACCACTGCTAGCTCTCCTCTGCTGTGCCAGCTGGCTGAGTGCCCCTGACCGGTCCGATATAAACGAGCTCTTGCTTGGAACCTGGCGATCGGTTATAGTTGCAGGAAGCTGCAATCATAAACCCATTAATTCAAAGCCCACCGTCAGATGCCCCAGCTTCCACTGATAAAATAACCTGAAATGATATTTACAAAATACACCAACAGCAATTTATTTGTACAATGTAACTGTGAATCTCGTTTCCTTTTTCTATAAACCCACTATCAAACTCTCTACCTTTGGCTACTGATTTACACATATTTAAAAAAAGACAAAGAACCCATCCTTTGCCTGGCATGGTCACTTTACTTGTCAATATCACAATATATGTTAGCTAAAACTTTGAAAAGGGAACATCACACAGATTAAGAAATTACAGTTTACTCTTGTAATAAAGAAGAAAAGACTTGGAATGAGGGTTGAAACTACACCCAATATTTCTGTACTATTATCACAAATGCATGAAATTTCATATCTTTAGGTGCTTTCTCTTTAGTTTATTTATTTATTTATTCCATTGTAAAATTCCGATCAAATCTAGGCTACAAATACACTTGATGGATATAGAATCAGTCACAGACAAGTAACTAAAATACACATGCTATGAAAATAAGCACAGGTCAGCTCAAACAATAAACCAAACTGTTTATCTTCCTACTTTAACATTAAACATAACAATATCTTAAATTTAATAACCGTCTGTAGGTAAGTCACATGTTTACATACACTTACATTGCCTCTCATCCTGAATCAGATGTAAACTACATGGGCATTTAATCACAATAGTATGTAGCCACTTGCACTACTTCTTGCTGTTGCATGAAGAGACAAGAGAAATCACAAAGGGATTATCTTCTTACATGAAATTTGAAGAACAAACTCATAACTGAATATATCGATGCTTTTTTTTCTTTATGGGGGAGACCCTCTAACCACTGTACACCTCTACTGCATAAAATCTCTCTCACAAACACATACACACGTGTGTGCACACACACACAAGTAGTTATGAGCAGTGCAAAGTATGCTTAAGTTTGTATTACGTAGGTAATTCAATAAGTAAGTTACAAATGAATATAGAACTTAAACAAATAAGAGTACTGATTTGAAAAATGCTTTTATTTCTCAACATAATCTTCCTGTACACCGAGGTACTTGTCCCATTATTTCACAAGCTCCTGAAAACAAGCAGCATAAAATTCTTTGGGCTGCTGTCAGAACCAGGCGTGTTCACACGGCATGGCCTACCTCATAATGCATAACAGGTTGCATGTTTCCGTTGAATGGCCTTATGAAGTTTCCTGAGGATGTTACAGTAGGAGTCGGCATTTACAGCTTGTCCTTGAGGCTGGAATGCGGTGAGCTGTATGCCTTCGTGATCCCAGAAGACTGTGAGCATCACTTTCCTTGAGGATGGTGTCCCCTTAAACTTTCTTTTGGCAGGCAACGCAAGATGTTTCCACTGCACTGAGGCACACTTTGTCTCGGGCTGGTAATGGTGAACCTAAGACTCATCACATGACAATTCGGGCTAGCATATCATGTCCTTCATCATGGTATAGCGGTTGAGATGCTGTAATGCCAGACCCATTCTTTGCATTTTGTGTTGTGGGGTCAACATGCACAGCAACCATCATGCACCGACTTTGTGAAAACTTAACCTGTCATGCATTACGAGGTAGGCCATGCCGTGTGAACATGCCTGGTTCCAACATCAGCCCAAAGAATTAGATGCTCCTGGTTTTCAGGGGCTTGTGAAACGATAAGACAAGTGCCTCAATGTACAGGGAGATTATGTTGAGAAACAAAAGCATTTTTCAAATCAATACTCTTATTTGTTTAAGTTCTATATTCATTTGTAACTTACTTATCGACTTACCCTCGTACAATATCCACCTCTGACGGGATAAAAAATTTCCTCCAGGCAGTAAATCTGCTCTAATTCTCTTAGCCAAATAAATGTGTGATCGTTTTTTAAATAATTCTAAATACAGGGAGCATATTCCAACTTCAGACAGACAACTCAAATAACACAAGCTCTACCTACCCTCTCCTTAAGACGAGCGCACGTAAACCCTAACAAGTGGTTCAACTGTCGAACTTTCAGTTTTGGCTTATCGTCCTTCTGCTCCTCCTTCATCTGCAAAAGCAATTTGTTATTCCATTTTAGTGTCTGTACAGCCTGAACCGACGCCCTGTCCTCCTAAACAAATTTGTGACAGGAAGTGTTTCAACAGCAGCGCGATTCACAAATACATTCCATGACACAGCCCCATTCTCTCACACACCAAAACACATATCAGCTTTTAAAATGTATGACAAATAAATCAGGCAACACAGTAACCACCATATTAATGGCTGCACCATACCTCAAGCAGTTAGTCGCTGGCTTCCCACCGCAGCGCCCCGGTTTGATCCTGGGTCTGTTCAAGTGGGATTTGTGGTGGACAAAGTGGCACTGGGGCAGGTTTTCTCTGAGTACTTCAGTGTCCCCTGCCAATCATCATTCCACCAACTGCTCCACAATCACCCTCACCTATCATCTGGGGCTGGTACAATAGGCCAGAAGTGGCCGCAATACAAGGGACTTAGTCCCATCCCAGTAGCAATAAAGAAAAAACCATCATATTAAATAGAGGAAGGATAAAGTAAAGGCCACTTCTGATAATGGCGTCTGGACTTCATTCACAATCTACGGTTCTAAAAGGATATATTCAATGTTGTGGAAACTTGATGTTTCCATCCTTGAGCAAATGCTAAGAAGAGAACTGCCATTGGGTCCGTCAGACAGAGCTCTTCTCAATCAGTGCATCACCTAAGTCAGAGGAGCTACATATATATCTGCACCTTGGATCAGGTTCTTTTGGCAGGAGATAATAGCAAAATTTGCAACAAAAACTGTGCAATTATGTATACAGACTTCAAACTTCCTTCCTTCCCTGTCAGAGTTTTAGGTCCTCATGGGTATTTCGACAATCTTCAACTTGAATTTCGGATATCTACAGGAAGAAGAAAACAGCAGCAGTCCAGCATACTTTGGACAGCTTCTTCAGAAAGCCCAAGACCCCAGCGACCACTCTTCTGGTATCCTCTTCCACGCTGAGTTCCTTACAAAATCTCCCACAACAACAGTTCTCCTACATTAATTTGACAAACTGCTCAAGGTCTTAGATTCTAACAAAATGTTAATTCTTTATGAAGTCTGTCAATGCTCTAGTAGCGTGAATCATAACTCAAACAATATATGGTAAATAATAATAAACTCGCTGTTTTAATTATTTTTAGTCATAGATGTTTCATATTAATTATTTCATGTTCCTTCAATTATTTTTTTTAACAAGAACCATACTAACAGGGGTTAAAATTTTAGCCGACCTGATCTTATTTATAGACTATTGTTTATATCAGGAAATTCATGGGGTAACTGGCTGGTAAGCTCAGTGTGGTAGGTCGCTTAATGGGAAGACGGTTCCACAACATACAGGAGGTACCTACCCACTGGAATTAAGATCTTATTGTCTGCCAATTATTCACTGAACTGATGGACTATAGAATTATCACTAATACAAGATTTTAATTCACCGCTTGGCAAGGAGCACTGTTTAAACAATCTGTATGAGTGGATGGACGCACAGTGAGTTCATTACTGATTTACAGTTAGCATTACCTGTACCATTTAAAGACAGTAATTAAATGTGAGAATTCTAGACATCTAAAATTTGCATCCCTCCTTGCCAAAAACTGAAGTGGGGCTCCTCTCTTTTGAGGCTTCACAAGAGCTTTGTGTCCCTCTCCAAATTTTGAAGTTAGAAAACTTACGACTTCCTCATTTACGACTGATAGGCATATTTAAACATTGCAGTACTGCTTTGTACTTAAATATGCAAAACCTATTAGCCAGCTGGGCCCACATTGTATAGCTACAGATCAACCATACTTGGACACATGGGTGACAAGCACTGACATCAGTTTGGCCCTAAGCAAGCCTCCCCTACTAGGATGACAAGGTCAAGGCAGCTACATGGAATCAAAGCTCTACAGAAATTTCCAGATGTTCATAAAATTATATTACTTATGCCCACAGACACTGCAATGAAATAATCTTCATAAATTATCCTGCATTTTCTGAAATATGCCAGTCAAAAATTAATAACAAAATAAAATAACTCTGATTCAGATTAGCTCCATAAAATAAATCAATGAAATCAGATTAATTTGGGTGACTAGTCAACAAGTAATTTGAATTAACTTACTGTCACATGCATGGGTGACTACAGGTAGGGTTTGGATTGAAGACTGGACTTACTGACCACTTTAACAGATGACTCATGACTACATTTAATTATAGAGCCATCGCTAATCTCCACGCTTTACAAATCAGTAGAACACACAGACTAGTGTTATCAGCCTGTTACAGTCTCCAGCTTCTGTGCTCATGCCACTGCCAGCTGGCCACTGTCTCACAACTCAACTGGCCTCTAAACTTGTCCCATTAATAGCCCCTTGGCAGGGACCATGTAGAAAACACCATTTCCAGCAGTTCTGCTATTGTTGTGTGCAGACTCACTGTCATGGGAACCTGCCTGTTTTGCTGTTGCTACCTCATAGTGAGTCCACACACTACATTATCAAAGAATGAAGTGTAAACTAGATTTGAATTAAGATTCATTTTGAACTTATCACCTTGCAAACTGGGCACACAAATGTGTTCTTGACATCCTCCTGAAGCACCTCCTCCTTAGCAAGACAAGACACATGGTACACACGATGACAACTGGTGCAGCAGATCACATCACCACCTGCATGGCACTCAAAACAGTACCAGTCATGGTCATCCTTCACCAGCTGCAACCCACATACACACGTCATGATATACAAAACAAAATCTCACCTTCTGGTTTGGGCCAAGTGTTTGAGAACAGACCGCTGAGGAGAATATTTGACTATAAGGGTGAGCAGGTGACAGGAGAGTGGAGAACGCCACACTGTGACAGGGTGGCAAGATGAGAAATGCACTTAAAGTTACAGTCAGAAAACCAGAAATCACTTGGAAGACCAAGGCTTAGATGGGAGGATAATATCAAAATTGATCTTAAAGACACAGACCATGAGGATGAGGGATGGATTCATCTGGCTTCAGACAAGGATCAGTGGTAGGCTCATGTGAACACAGTAATTAATATCTGGGGTTCAGGAAACAAAGATAATTTATTGACTAGCTAAGCTATTATTAGCTTCTCAAGAATAAGGAATATACAGGATGTATGATTTACCCCTTTTGTTTATTTAACAACACTCTGCCAACTACAAACATTATAAACCACTGAATAACAAATGACAGGATGATTATGAATGACAAACCGATAAAAACATGGAAAGTGGTCACTGTCTACTTAAAAGCACCATCCCTGCATTTGCTCAGGACACACGACAATCACAGGACAGTAAGGCAAGCAGTTCCTGAGCTGAGATGCAAAACCTGATACATATCTACCATGCTGTACACTTCATTTATGAGAGCAATTAATTCAAAACACTAAATGTAATGGCTCAGTAACACATCCCTACTTGTTAATTCACAGAATTCACAATCACAAGGCATCAACCTAGAATATAAATACTTGAACACTTACTGCCGTGTTCTGGAGTCAACTATCTTTATACTGTTCACGGTTTATTTTTTGTCAACTACAGTGAGTGCATAGCGTCCAGTGAGGTACTATGATCACAGAGGATGAACTCAGAAGGTAAGAATGAAAGCAGGCACAAGCAAGGCTCTTTTGTTAGTCGGTACATATACTGGCATAAAACTGATGGACACCAGCAAACTTATTAAAACATAAACACGTGCTGGCACATTGTACATTTCAACCTTGATGGTAAGACTGAGCACGACAATGATGGCAAATGTGGTTTTACAGGAAGAAGGCTCTGGTCATCACCTATTTCAAAATAAAGTCCCAACAACGGTCTTCAGGTTCTCAACCAGAAGAACCAGTTTTTTGGGCCATAATTTTATGTGAATAGCTCCCAAATGAAATACATGTGGATTCAGGTCATAAAGGAATATAAATACACAGAATAATGGAATTCCAAAGGTTATTCTTTCAGATTTGAAGACAGTTAAACTGAACATTTCCATTTAACTACAATACATGCAGCCAGTCAAGAACTTTTTTGCTTTTACAGAACTTGAAGGTTCGGCTTCAGCAGATGCAATTTCCTTCCTGTAATATATTGCAGAATCTGGACAGTCCAAGGTCAGTCATTGAGGGGCCAAGGATGCTCCTTCATATGAAACTAGAAACCAGTTTCCAGCTTTCATGTTTCTTCTGAGGCTTGTTTTACGATGTTGTCAGTATCCAGACTATATAGCGTAAAAGATGTGAAACTGCAAAGATTTGGAAGGAAGCAATCATGGCCTCATGGAGGTATTTTCTCTACACTTGCCTTGAGGGGCGTAAGGAAAGCATAAAAACCTCAATTAGGATAGCAAGTGCCCCAGCTGAGACTCAATCTAAGGACCTTCTGAATACAAGCTACCACCATGTAGTGAAGGCAATCAATGCTGCAAACAAAATAAATTGTGCCTGGAGGCGGAACAACCATTAACACCCACAACTGTCAATAAATCATGTCAACATGAGACATACAAACCGTGTCTTGTGGAAGCCGGTACCCCTCCTGCTCAACACCTATCTTCGAGCCTTTAACTCCCATCCTCTTGATAAGACGCACCAAACCATCGCGGACACAGTGGTTCAACTGGCGCCGGACTTCATCTGAATGAACAATTGATGTGATACAATGAGTGAGTGCACACCATAAAGATGAATGGGGGGTGTGGGGGTACACTTCCTTAATCTCAGCGTTAGATGGAGCTGGGTAGTCAACTTCATGTTCCAGCCACTTTACCCATGGGGAAACAGTCTTCAGTATTCACAAGGCAGAAGCCTGGGTGTGTCCCAAAGCTTGGCCGGACACCGTGCAGGAAAAGATAAATCTCTTGCCCCCTGCCAATTCCTTGGTCATAAAGTCCAGGGGGCAGTCACTATACTAACTGAGCTATCCTGGATCAATTTGAATAGACAGTAATCTTATTAATTTTTTATGTGGATAGTGGAATTCTCCTCCCATAACAATAATTATAACAACTTGAAATGTAAAATCCTGAAAAATCATTAGATGTCCATTCTTGATTATTTTAATTTTTGGATTGTATCATGAAATTAAGGATCAACTGTAAATCAACAGCAATTAAGAATTTGGAAGCTGACAGTCAGGAAATAATGAAAGACGCAATGGCCAGTTTACCAGCCACTGAAAGGTTCACGTTTTAAACGCAGTTCCAATTTTGTACTGCTAAGGCATTTGCTTCGTATCATGCATGTCAAGGAAAATAAATTTTAAATGTATGAATGCAACGTATTTTACTAGTTCGTGTGACTAAGATGAAACTGGCCATGACAGATCTCACTGGCCACTCCTATATCATATTCTACATACTTACCTTCTTTGGCCCCATGCACACGGGACATGTACCGTGTTATTCTGGTCACATTAGGTATCTGCCGCTGACTGCGTATTACTTTAATAGCATCCCAGAGATGCTGTGTGATCTGAGGGCAAGCAACTCTGCGGCGAGACATGGCTGAGAAGAGGCTGAAAAATGGATAAAAACTATTACCAAGCACTTGAACCCACATCAGAACATGAGACAATAAGGCACCACTAATAAACCCTATACTGGTATGCTAGCAGTGGTACCAGTGTCACTTCTAGCTTACAAGTGAACAAAATGGCTGCCATCTTTGTACTGATGGCATGAAAGTACAAAGTTTATATAGCACACTGTTCATAATAAATGTCTGAAAATCTGAATTAATTTCATAACTTGGTCGATTTCAACAATACTTTTAACTCAACAATATAAAAATTCATTAAGCTTAAAACCCAAAGCCTCCAAAATAGTCTACTTCGATTTATAACTATACTGCAAGCTTTTGCTCATGCTTATGTATAGCATGCTTTGTGTTACTTTATAGCGTACGTTTATCTCACTGCGAAGCTAAGATTGTTTAAACTGAAGACAAAGACGGTACTGATGGTCCTGGCACAAAAAGATTCTTCAAACAAGGCAGATAACAAGTACATAATTATTTAGTCACGTCACCTCTAACAAAGAGGTTAATAACAGACTTGTTGAAAAGACACCAACATAGTTTTGAAACCAACAACACAAGCACTGTACCATCTGCAACACCTGTTCAGTGCTGATAACTTGTCACCAAAAAGGCCAGTGTCTCCTTATTTTTGTGCAACACCAAAGGAAATAATGACCAGAGCCATGTGTGCTGAACTTAGCTGTTCCATAAACCTACTTTGACAACTGTATCCTAGCCTCTAGTCAACATATAATGAATTCATTTATGTTGACAATAATATTTACTTAGGTCATGTTTATGACTGTGAACAGACTGACACTGACCAGACTGCTGTAGTGGTAACAATCTTGACTTGCATTCTTGCTCAGTTTGAATTTCAGATGGGACACTGATATTCTTACTGAGGTTTATGGGGTTTTCCTCAGTCGCTTCAGGCATATTCCAGATCAGTACCTACATTAGACCACAAATGCTTCCTTTGGAATCCTTTCCAGTTCATCACTGATCAATCATCATACAATTCAGCACTAAATCTGTATGTTGAAGTGTCACATTCACAAAAAGAAAATAAACAAACAGACAGTGCAGTACACAGCAGTAGAGAACATGAGGACTCTTCAAAAACCCAATATACAGGGTGTCCCAGGAGGAATGTGCCAAACTTCGGGAGGGTGTTCCTTATGTTAAAGTATGCCGATATAACCCAAAACACCTATGTCCAAAGTTGAACGGTTACAGAGATAATGGCCCGAGAAGTATCAAACTTTGACCGGGGTTACACACTTGTTGATTACAAAATACATATTAAAACTGGCAGGAATATGTGGATTCTGTAATGTTAATAATGTACGTAACATCAAACCAACTTGTGAGTGACGGAAAGCCATAAAATTGAAGTACAAAATACTCGCTCGCCATGTCATAATTGTCCTTAGGTTTCCAAGCAGTATACATAACACATGACTGGCGAGCGATGACGTAACGTGCTGACTGCGCGTTCTGGTATGAGCCAACTACATAAGCACGGCTAGGGAGTATCATCGCACTCAAGGACAAACATAGATAAGGGCTCTCAGCTGAGAGGTACAGCGAGGTACAGTGCTTGGACCTGCCAGAAGACCACACTTTTCTTGGGCCATTATCTCCGTAACCGTTCAACTTTGGACATAGGTGTTTTGGGTTATATCGGCATACTTTAACATAAGGAACACCCTCCCGAAGTTTGGCACATTCCTCCTGGGACACCCTGTATATATTTACAATTCTTACTGTTTCAGACTTTTTCTCAAAAAACTTTAAAATCATAGATTTCTTCTAAATATTTCTAAATATTCCAAATGTTTCAGAAGAATTTACTAATAGCTGCTTACTAACTCAGACTACATGCAGACTTCTGCACAGAAGAAAATTCATTAAGGCACATCTGCCCAGCCTGTTCCCTCCTGCCACTTCGCTGATGAAAAGTGACAGTCAGTAGTGATTACATGTCATTAATTCCTCCCCCCCCCACATGCAAGATAGAGAATCTTGCTCTCTTCTCGATAACAATCACGGAGCAGACTGCTCCATGGCACTGCTCTAGATTCTTATTTCAGAGATGTTCAGTTTGTATTTCAGTCAGGACACTGGCTATCCTTAGTGAGGTTTACCATGGTTTTCCTCAGTCCCTTGAGACAATGAAAGTACCTAATTAGCCCCCACTGCTTCCTTCCAAATCCTTTCCAGTTAACCAATCATATACCATCCTACCATTCAATTCTATATAAACTGAGATACTGACTGCATCATAAATTGAACAACAAACAACCACACATAACAAGACACACAGAACTGCAACATATCATTAAGTAATGTTAAAAGCTATTATGTCTGTGTATAATACAGTCCGTCAATAACGCAAATTGTTCCTTTTTCTTCTACTTATACTTTAATGCAAAATGTTTCAGCCTTACATGGCCATCTAAGGCCATTTGTTGCATTATTGACGGACTATGTAATACAGAGACGTTTTAATATGGCTTGCAACAGGATGCTGAAATAATGAATTACAAATGATATAAGCAATGCTATTCAGTGTGATCTAAAACAAGAAGTATTTATTTTACCACCACCCCTTTACAAGGTTGCTTTAGAATAAATACATCATTAAAGAGGTTCAAGAAAAAAAAAACAGATTGGAACACACCAACTTCTGGTCTATGTTGAAACACTGGTTGAAAACATATACACCATACAGAAAAACATCACATCTCTATTAGACACTACTAAGACTGGTGTACAATAAATGTTCACATTTCATTACAGACTGCTGGACAGTGATAAAACTGCAGCAAGTTCAAATATCTGGGACTGGGAGTAACAGCCAGAATTACTTGAGTGTCTTAAATTTTCTAAAAGGTCGCTACAATTCATTTGAGGGTCTTTCATCTTCCTCTCTCCTAGCTAAAAGCTGAAAGACTGATACATAGAAGCAATTATATAATTTTACCTATTGTTATATATGGCTATAAAATCAGATCTCTAATCATAAGGTGTGAACAGAGACTGAGGCTCCTTGAGAACTGTGTGATAAGGCAAAGAGAGGGGACATAAAACGAGACTGGAGGAAACTACATATTGAGGAACTTCTGAATCCAAAATCTTCATCAAATTTTAAATAAATTATATATATTTTTTTTAATTAGGACAATCGAATCAAAGAGTTATGTGGCATATGGAGAAATGCACACAAAATTTTAATTTAAAAATTGGGATGGAAGCACCACATGGAAGACGCATGTGTAAATGGAAGGATAATATTAATACTGATCTTAAAAGAAACTGGATGTGTCTGGATTGGATTTATCTGGTTCAGGATAGGAACCACTGCAGGCTCTTGTGGATATGTAATGAACCTTCAGACTCCAATAAGGCCAGAGATCTTCTTGGGCAGCTGAGCAATTATTAGTCTCTCACGTAGGGCTCTGATCAACAGAAACCAACAGCAATACAAAAAGCAGAGGTATGCAAAATACAAGCAAAGAGAAGAAGTCTTCTTTGGTTCAGTCACTGAATTTATGAACACTGTTAACATTACACACATCTTAGAACCTATGCACTGATAAAATTCCCAAACCTAAGATTTCAACTGCTCAACATTATGCTGGTATATAGACAGACACCAACTTACCACTTCAAACAAGCAAAACTGAACTGCACACAACTTGACTGTTGCAGTGTGTCTATTATCACTTTCAGAACCAATGTTTGCTTGACATATAACAAATGGCAAAAGTGATACTGAGTTTGTGGAAACACATTTCCACATATCTTCACCTTGATTATACTGCTGACAAGTCGAGGTCATGCATTCACAAAACTTTACAATCTAACAGTTGGAAACGTTCATAGTAGGTCTTTGTGAACCTCACAGATATTAGCTTCAGTTTGTAACTGATATCTCTACAGAGTACATTCAAGGCAGCAAGTACTGGTGTAGCAACACGGCGTCATGCCCTCAATATTGCAACAGTGTTGTTCTCATGCAGTTTCACAGAGAAAATTCAGTATCTCATGCACACTTCTGGTACAGCACTCAAAATGAATGGGTATTTCAGATACTCACTAGAACCATGAAAACAGATGACATGAAGTAACTACATTGATANCGGCAAATTGCAGCCGCGGCGCGCACTTGATTGTACGCACTGTATAATTCATAAATTTTTGATAATATATTCTATTATTATAACCACATGAACAGAACAGACCTATAGGTCTGATTGCAAAAGTACAATTACAATGAGGCATTAAAGAGAAATTTGCACTTATAATGCAATAAAGTTTTGTGTAAGTGAATTAAATGCAACTTAATCAATCACTAAAGAGTACAATCTTCTGGGGCATGAAGCCCAGTGCTCCAGAATACACAGCATCACACACCACAATACAGAACCACTGCCGGGCAAAAATCAACTCTAATGTAACTATTACTAATGGGAAAAATCCCATCCAACTGACCATCAAGTCACACCCACTGAAAAATACTGTTTTATGTTACAATGCTGAATGCAGAATACGAATATTTCATCACATGTGGAATGTCAGGTTAAACTATCCCTTAAACAAAAAAAATCATTACATTAGTGAAGAGCAGTATGCCTGGCTGGACTGTTTATATAATTTTGTGTGCACCTGTGGCTGTGACTCGTACTGTACCAGCTGCCTCAGCCACACTGGTAAGCTGATTCAACTACAGTGTGTTGTTATGCAGTGCAAATATAAGTCAAACACAAAAATCAGAGGCTGTATTAACCTAGCATTATTTTAAGAGACTAATGAAAACCAGGCCAATCACAGTGGCCCAGCAGTCTAAGCCATGAACTGCCTCCGCTTGCTCAAATGCTGTGATCGTGGGTTCAAATCCCACCGAAGGCATGGATGTCTGTGTGCATTTATTCTGTGTTTGTGCTGTTCTGTGTGTAGGTAGATGCCTTGCAATAGGCTGATCCCCGTTCA